TTTTTTTCTGTTGGAATTTGATTATTCACTTACCATGTCGAGTACTGGTCATATTTATAGCATGCAACGAAGGAAGTATTAGGAAGTAGCAAATTGGTGGATATATGTGCTGGCACAATTGCATCCTCCCGTTTAACACATTACTAAAATATAAAAATGTAGCAAGTACATCCAGCATCTTAATTAGTGCACTAAACTTTTATATATATATATATATAAGCATAGTGCACTATAACTTAGTGGCACACGGTATACACACGGGTTTACCTTATTACACAGACATGGGGATTGCTCTTTCCTAATCCCTCTGATACGCTTATATTTCTTTTGAAAAATGTGATCATATATATAAGTTGTTCTTAGACCAAAGTTGATCAGGGCAAATTCTATAGTAATATACTAAAAATATTTGGCAAATTCAAGATACTTAACATCTGACGCGCATTTTTCACTTACCAAGAGATTTCACGTGGTGTAACAAACGCGGATACCCTTTCTACCAAAAGTTGTATATAAAAAAATCTCCTTCGAAAAGACATGTAATTATTCCTCATTTTCTACGCACACTTAAAATTGGCACTTAAAGTTAGTGATTTCTCTAAGTTCGTGATCACTATCATAAGAAGTTAAGAACCATCGTAAAATTCATCCGAAGGAACAACACTCACTCAACATCACAACACCTTGCTATCAAGTTTGAATCATATAGATTAAAAAAAAACTTAGGAATTAGATGAGCTATAAGGAAAAAACATAAAAATGATTAAATAAATTAAAGGGTGCAGGATAGTATGTTTTTCAATGATCAAAAAACTTAGTATGTCTTCTTCTTCTTCTTATATAAAAATAAGAACTTTCAAATTTATATTTATAGTTTTAAAAATGTAATGCAAATAATTAAGTTAATATATATTTTCTTATCAATCAAAATAGTTCATTATTATATAAATTTTGATTATACAACCGAATTAAATATTGGAATTCGACCGAAGAGAAACGTTCTGCAATTGGCAACGATCTATTTTGTATAAGATGAAACTAATAGTGTAAGGCCACCCGTACCCTTTTTCTTTAGTTAGCACGAACAACAGTAAGAACCTAATTCAGTTTGATACTGTCAAAAAGCAACATACTTTTTTGGTCCAACAGTGGAAAGAAAAAATGGGTTTAACAAACTTAAATGTAATTGACCCCTTCACACCACTTTTATTTAGGTATATGCAAATTCAGTGTAGCCACCAGCCATGTATATAATTCTAAGTTATCTAAGGTAGCTCAATTCTGCTCCTTCCTTGCAACTTCGAATCCACTCTAATAATTAACACCTGGAATAGAAGACATGTATAGTGAAGAGCACTAACAAGATGGTTACCTTTTATTTAATAAAGAAGCGTACGGTAGAGTAATATTTCAATGTGTTAACTTAGTCAGCAACGTTAGACGCAAATTAAGAGCTTTAATTTAATTTAATGCCTCACACAATGATTGCAGCAAACATGATACGCGTATTGGTATATACTATATACACATTTTGATTTGATTTTTGGAGTATATGTTTAACTGGAGAAAAGCACGCACTAGCCTCTGCCTCTCTACCTTATCTGTGCCTCCACGTACGTGTTGCCACCTTCTGGATTATTCAATATAAAATCTTTCACAATCAACAAAACTCACTGTCAAATATTTTGAAACATAAAATTAAATTCAAATTTGTTATTTCTGTTTTGGAAATTATTTTCAAGTAGATAAATAGTATTTATTTTAAAATTTATATTTTAAAAAATATTACATTAATTAAAATCATATTACAAATAAATATTAATGAGTATTATTTGATATAACCACTTAATTTTATGAGTAAAATAGTGGATAGAGAATGAAATTTTTCTTAATTTTCAATTAAATAAATAACTAGCACTCAAAAAAAAAAAAACTAAGAAGTTGTTGATGAAAATGAATAAGAAATGAATGACTATAGTAGGATAAAAATAATAAATCTATATTTTAAGAGTTGTAAACTAAAGAATTTTTATTATATTAAGAAGTTAAGAACTAAAAATAAAACGTTGTATGAAACCGGAATATATTTCAGCATAAAGTATTATACAAAAGTAATATATAATTTTGTAAAAAAAAAAAGTAATATATAAAATATTTCCTTTACCTAATATTATTGAAAGTGTAGAAAAGTGACTGAGATTGATGGGATTATTATTATTATTTTTTAACTTTGAAGCTTTTTGTGTTTTAAATTTAACAGTCCGTGTCCGTGCCACGGAAAACCTCCGTACCGTCCGCTGACTTTCTTCATTCTTTTTTAATTTTATAAATATTTAATATTTTAACATGTGTAATATAAAGAGTATTTTTATTTTATAATTTATATAACTAAAATTTATAAAATAAATATTTTAAATATATAAATATATTATAATTAAAATTTATAATAAATTAGTATTTTAGTTCATATAGGTTATATTTTAAATTTATAATAATAAGATTATTTTTAATTATTTATAATTCTTTTAAATATTAGAATTCAATATTTTTTATTTATATATTAAAATTTAAATAAAAATAAAAAGATTAGACATTAAAAATTATTTGTAACTTTTATTATTAAAGATAAATCGTTTAAAACATTTTAGTTATCGTCTCATTCAAATTAATTATTCTAGACTAAAATGTAAGTAAATTTTAACAAAATTAATTTTATTTAATATTTTAATTCTAAAATATTTTTAACATATGAGAACATTATTTACCATAAATATGATTAAAATATTTTATAAAATATAATGTATATTATATTAATAGATACTTTACAAAATCTAATTTTTTTTTATTATATTCAAATAAAATTAAATATTTTAAAATTATTTTTCAATGCATGACCTTTTTGGTAATCCTCGTATTATAACTTTTCCTCTAAAAGGCTTTTGGATAAAAATAAAATTACTTTTCAATAAACTTATTTAAATAAAAATTATTTTCATTAACTCTTATATATTAAATATAAATATATATTTTACGTGATAATATTTGTTAAAAAAAATTTAAACAAGAGTGATTTAAAAAAAACTTATCTAATTTAATTTTTTTTATCATAATTATTTATAAATTAAATTTTAATATTTTAAAATAATTTATCAATAAATAAAAGAATGTTGCGTTATAATATAAAGTATTTATTATAAATCTATAATATAATTTATATATTGAAAATATTTATTTATATAAATATAATTTATGTATTAAGCATAATATTTTTTAATATATAATTTATTATAAATTTTATTATAAATATTTAACATGTGCATTTCAAAGATTAAAAATATTAATTATAATTTAAATGACAATAATTAGTTATTAAAATAATTTTTATGATTTTCCAAATACCCTCCAAAAATACATAGCATTAGATACATGTTGAACTCGTAATACTAATTTAAAAGTTTGCCTTTTGATCATGTCCATTAAATTGCATTTGGAGGCCACTTTCTTTTGCATCCATTGGACATCGAAGGCGACAATCGTTGGTGGAATGGTGGTGCTCCGTCCACAAGACAAATTAAAGGAAATGAACTAAAATGAAACGGATACGACAATTTTAGTATTTAAATGTTTACTTAAATATGTTTTTAGTAATTAAAAAAGTTATTGTTTATAAGATTTTTTTTTAATATTTTTTATTCTCAAATTTATAAATATTAATTTTGGTCTATGTAAAATAAATAAATTTTAGTTTTACTTCCTAAAAAATATTTCTTTGATTCTTATTATTCTAAGATCTAAATATGTAACACTGCAAGTTTTTAATTATTGACTTTTAGTGATAATTATGTATCTAATGCCTAAGGTTTGTTGTGTAGCTTTGAGAGTTGAGAAACTCTTAGGAATCTAATTAATTTTAAAAGTCTCTAATCAAAGATTTAGTTGATTGTGAGGGGATGAGATATATAATATTTCTATTGGGAATTGAGCTTCATAAGTTAATTTCTCCAAATTTTAAAGAGACAAACTAGAGAGAAGTGCTTTAGGTCTGTAAGTTTCTTTCTTCTCTAAATTTTATCTCAATTAGACGATTCTTTCTATGGAATTAATGATGTGTTTGTGTGCTTTGATTTAGATCCCTAGTAAGATGAAATCAAAGTGAGGTGTGGAGCTTCACGAAGCTCGAATCCGATTTCCTTCTTTTTTCTCTTCTTCACTTTTGGTGGCTTAGAGTCAAGGTAAGGGGAACTAGAAGTGTTTTTGGTTGAATTGTATGTTGATTGATATTATCAAATGTTGTCATTTTGAATGGATTTGGATTGAATATATATATTATGTTGGATGGGTTTTGGTGCAAGAGGGGAAAATGGTGAATTAATGAATTGATCATTTTTGGTGGTTGCATGTGTGTTTTGGACTTGGAATTGGGTTGTTTGAAGTAACTATGTACTTGTTTATATGTTGCATGTTGGAGATTCCTGTGTTTCAAGTGGATTGAGTCAAATTTTAAAGTCTACAATTGCAAATTTTTTATGTTGCGTTAGACGCCCCTTCATGGTGTATGGCATAGTTCCAACCAAGGGTCTCTGTCTTGTTCACATTAGGCATAGGATCGGTGACGCTTGACATGAGGAGAAAGACTCATCTTAGGTTGGAATGGCATCAAGCGTGGTTTAAATGGCATCAAGCATGAGGGCATTGGAAAGTCTTTGACTTGGTGACACTGGGCTCTCATTGGGTGGTGCCAAACATGATTAATGCAAAGGCTTTTTGCCTAGACGACGTTGGGTGCCATTAAGGTGACACTAGACGTGAGTCAAGCATAGGCTCTCTACCTGATATGAGGTTAGACGTGGGTTTTGTCATGC